TTTTGCCGATTTACGCAACGACGCTTTTTCTTTTGGCTTTATAAGACTCGACCGCGGACCCTTTCGAGCACGATTTCGAAAGCTTACGATTTCCTTAAAGGTCTTTTTAACAATCCGGCCGATTTTCAAGCCTTCTTGACCATTACGGAGTTTTACTTTAAGCATTGCACTTGATAAAAGTGTTACTTTAACCGACTGATACTGCTTCGATAAAGAGAACGGAGTACGCTCCGCTTTACTTAAGCTATAAAGGCTCGTCAGATCAACCGCGTCACGGGACTAAGACTTTAAGATAACGTAATACGCTTTCGAAAGAATTCTCTTTAGCACTAGTATATTATATTAAGTTTTCTTTTAGAGTTTAAGCTTTCGTATTCACCTTTTCTTTCGTACTCGGCTGACCTCGGTCCGGCCTTGATTCTTGTCGCTCCGCGACGTGAACAGCTCGCTTTTAGCTAGCTATAACAGTTTGTACATGCTTGACTCTCTCTTTTATAGTTTTCCTTTAATAAAAAGTTTCTTTCTATATGATCCATCTTATTTGTAAAAGAAGGGCGCATGCGACAATAGCCCTCGCTACAACACTTTGAATTGCTTTTTTAAGCCTTCTTGTATGTAACTCTTTAGCTTAACACGTCGCCGTACCTTATGGGAGGTCCTAGGGCGGCAGGCTTCGCCTGCTACCCGCCCGACGTAAATAAATACAACAACAACAACAACAACCACCCTCACGAAGTCCAAAAGGGAAGGAAAAGGAAGAAGGGGAAGAGATTCGGAGGTTACGCGAGGAGTTTGCGAAAGAAAGGAAGGATATAGAGCAAAATATAAAAGTAATAGCAAGGCAAATGGCAGAATTACGGACCTACGCTATACAATCCAACGAAAGGCTACGACGAAGCACTTCAGCGTACTCGTCCTCAATTCATCAATCTTATTAATCGCTACGCAATACGCTAATCATACAAGAAGAGCTAAAATCACCTCAGCAGCCCCAAAACCCCTTTATCAAGGGCTACAGCCGAATTTTCGACAAGCCAAGACCGAGTAGCAACAAAAATAGTCTTGAAATCATTATCGGACCAGACAACACTCGAGGCTACGAGAGCTACACGCCAAAAGAGGACCCGCTAAAACCTAAGAGCATTCTAGACAAAATCAATTCTTATTAAGGACAGCGTGCAAATTTCCGTGCCTAGCCTTAGCAACCCGAAGAAGGGATCCAGCACCTTCGGACGTACCGGCAAGCTACCCACATCTCTCAAGAGGCTACGTATTAACAAAAGAGAGACTAAGGGTATAAGAATCGCTAAAAGCAAGCCTAAAGATACGAATATTATTAAGCTAGAGCCTTAGCCGATGACCCGAATAGCCTTAGAGATCTTGACGATAGCCGACGAAAAAGGAACGGAGGAGATTAGCAGGGAGATCGAGGCTACGAGTACGGAAAGGGTAGGAACGGCCCTTCTAAGCTACTAAAAAGATTCGGCAACGGACCTCCAAAGGACCCCGGATCCGGAAATGAGCTTCTTAAGGACCTTAAAAGGGTAAGACCCACAACCGGCAACTATATTAATAACCCTTTACCGATCCGACCACTAGCCAGGCACGGCACGCTTGCGTACGGCATTCTAAGCGCCTTTAACGATGATGGAGACGATTTCCTTAAGCTAGGAGCAACAGACCCTCACTTAAAAGCGAAAGAATTAGCCTTGTTCGCGCGAAGCTTTCCTAAAGAGCTGAAGTATTCAAGACCCGACGATAACTTTAAAACTTAATTAAAGATTTTTACTGATTAAGCAAGTCGATACGGTTTGACCTCCGACGATTACTTGGCGGCGTTCTTAATTATGCTTACGAAGGAGGCTATAACCTTCTATTATAATCATATGATCAAGGCCAAGCTTTTTACGTTTAAAGCAAACGCTATTGCGGTAAAGGATCACTTCGAAACTGATTACCGGCGGCAAGTAAAATACGACCGCTAAAAGGAAATTTCGCTGGATTTAATCAAAAAGGAGAATCTAAAAACCTCGCTTAGCGAATGCTTTAAAAAGCTCGCTAAAGAACTTAAAAGCATTTAAAGCTCTTTACGACTAGGTTTAAAAGATGATCGAAGTCTTGCTAACAAGTTATATTCAGCTTATAAAAACGTGCTAGAGACTACGATTGCACGAATAAACCTTGCTTTTACTTTCACCGCGGCAATTGCTGACATCCGTCGAGCAATTGCTTTTACAACTAAGACCTCTCGACCTCCCGCTAAAGCGAGTAAAGCTTACGCGAGCTCTAGCGAGCTACACGATCACACTTGCTCTTAGCACGCTTTAAAAGCTGACTCCGATTTGGACGAAGAATACGAATGCTTTATTCAAGATCGCTAATACTTCAGAGGTAAGAAAGCTGTTAAAGCTACTATTAAGGGTGAGAAAAGGTGTTTTGTTTGCAAAAAGCCAGGTTGCTAAAGCACTAATCACACCCTCGACGAAAGAAAGGCATCCGTCGCCAAGTTCTAAGCTTTTAAAGACGCAAAAAGGATGACGAAAAGCAAATTCTCTTAATACGTAGCATCGATTAAAAGCTTGCTACTTATATCTATAGAAGAATTCGATTAGTTTATCGCAAGCTTATTAGACGAGCCGCCCGAATCGAGCAGCTACGCTAACATGTCGAAAGGTTTTATGACTACTTACGGCACTTTTAACGCTAACGAAGTATACAAACAGTTGGAAATTTAAACGGCATTCTACGCTTTTATTAGCCAAATCGAGACTTAAAACGTGCCCGCGAGCAAAGCAAAGACTTACATAGCTTCCAAGTACTTTGAAAACGTGTTTATAAGACTTATGATTGACAGCGGAGCAGCTAATTTCTCTACCGCTAGCTTGCCTTAACTACGAGCACTTTAAAAGAGGTACCCCGAAGTTTAATTAAATACATCTCGAGCAAAAGAGAAGTCCGTCAAGTACGGGATCGGCTTTATTACTTCTATTAAAGCAGTTATCTTAGATATTCCTTTAGGTCAAGTAGAGTTCTACGTTATAAAAAGCGACGTACCTTTTCTATTCTCGTTAGCTAATATAAATAAGTATAAAGTGATCTTAGATAACTTGCGGAACGTGTTAGTTTAAAGGAAGAAAGAAATACTAATAGTAAGGATGTTTAAACACGTGTAAATGCTATTAAGTAAAGAGCACGCTGCTACTTACTATAGCATCGAAAGCGAGACCGTCTATTGCTACTTTACGGAAAAGCAATTGAGGATTATTTATAAGCGTTTTGGCCACTTTTTAGCAAGTCGATTTGCTGCTGTTCTTAAAAGGGCCGGGCACGAATTCAGACGGGATTTGCTTTACAATATCTAAAAGTTTTGCTATTATTGCTAAGTATTCGGACGCTCCTCGAAGAGGTTTAATATTAGACTTAAGGATGATATTGACTTTAATAATACGGTATACGTCGATGTGATGCACTTTGACGGCAAAAACGTATTGCACGTCGTTTGCGATTCTATTAATTTTCAGGCCGCTACCTTTTTTAAAAGCATGTCCGCATAGCATTTACTTAAAGGATTCAATCGATGCTAAGTCAATACTTACGTCGGGCTTCTTACAAACGTAATGCACGATCTCGGAACCAACTTTAATTCGGCAACGTTCTGAAGCTACCTTAAAAGTATTAGCAGCATTTTAAAGCAGATGCTTGTAGAAGCTTATTATAGCGTCGGGCTAATGGAACGCTACCACGTCCTTGTACGACGCGCTTTTAAGATCGTCACAAAAGAGCTTCTAAAAGCTTTAAGGGAAGACCGGCTTTAAATGGCTATCAAAGCCATCAACGACACAGCTGGACTTAATGGCTTGGTTCTTACACTTTTCGTTTTTAAGACCTTATTAAAGCTAACGGAACAAGATCGACTTGCCGCGTCTACTTAAGAACGTGCTGCTGCTATTAGCAAAGCTATAAAAGAAGTACGAAAATGCCACGCAGCGAGGCAAGTTAAGGACGCGCTTAAAAGGAAGAATGGACCAATTACGAAGCATACCTTAGACTTCCTTATTGGTTCACGAGTACTCGTATAGCGAGAAAACCAAGGGTAGAAAGGCCCTTTTCAGCTGCTTAGCAAGCAAGGGCACACGTGTATAATAGCATGTCCGAGACTTACGGAATTTAAGTCAACCTTAATAAAACCTTACTACTTTGAAGTTGAAAAGCTGCTAAAAGAGTTGCAAGTACTTAAGATAAAAGCGGAAGAAGAAAAAGATAAAAGCGAAAGCGAAAAAGAGCTGGAACCGCGAAAGTCGCTTAAACCTTAACATTCGCTTAATCTACCAAGGTCGCTAAGATTAGCAAACAGCCTTCCCAACTTTTAACTTGTCAATTCTTAAAGATCAATAATACTAAAGGTCTAGATACTTTACTAGAAGTACGATTTTAGTATCTCGACCGTGCCCGACGAAGAGGAGGGCGATTCTTACGTTTTATTTACTAAGGACTCCGAAGTGTTAGTTACCGACAAAGAACGCCGGGACTATAAGCTCTTAGCTAAGCTACGAGCCGAAGGAATTATTAAGAGCCTTAAGGCATTATTTTAAGAGTCCAGAGCAAAGGAATTAATTAGATTAATAGCTTAAAGCATCTTTTAAGTGATCTCGAGCACCGACTTACGCGCTAAAAGCGCTAAGATCTTCGGATCTAAGTTTATTAATAAGATTAAGAGCAAAGGAACACTTACGCTATACGAGAAGTTTCGTATGATAGTCTAAGCTTTTTAAGATAAAGGCAAGACGAAAGTATTCACCGAGTCACTTACGGTGCAGCGAGCGGGCTAAAGATTTTATTGTGCTTTAGCTCTTTCTTTAATAAAAGATTACGAGTGTTAAGTTTATAGCAAAGATATCACTTAAGCTTACACTTAATCAAGCACGAAGCTTATCCGAATAATCGTCGTGCGACCACTTAAAGAGATCACTTATCGATTCTCTTTCGGTACTTTGTTCTTTATGACTAGCCTTTTATACGGCATCCTCGAAGCAAAGACGCATTAGTATAAGCGTTTTTCCGAGCATTTTATAAACAACTTTAGCATGCGGCAATCAAGCTTTGATTCTTGCTTCTTTATATCAATTAATAAAGATCAGCTAAGAATAGCTGCTTTACAAACGGACGATGTTCTTATGGTTATCAATCGAGTTATAAAAGCAAAAGAAGAGAAAGAGCTAGTGAAATCCAAGCTAAAGAGCAAGGAAATAAAGATCTTTACACACGCCGAACCGATGATTTTCAATAAGTGCAAGCTATCTTTAAATAAAAACGAATTCGGAGTGTTAATTGGTCAGAAAAAGCAAAGTGAAAGGCTTGCAATAATCAAGCTCGATTCAGCTATACGGGCTAAGGAGTACTTAGAGCAACGTGCTCGAGAAGCGTATTTGATTACTATTTGCTACTTAAAAGCATCTTATGCTCTATCGATAGCTGCTCAATACTAAGAACCGAAAGACGGGGACTACAAGGCCTTTAATAAGGTAATCTAGTGGCTGATCGATCACTTAATACGAAAGATCTATTACGTGCTCTTAAACTTGATAATTGCGAAGCTCTTTATGTTCGTAAATAAAGCGTTTGCTAACAACGCTGACCTTAGCTCTTAGATCGGTTTCGTAGCTATCCTTAACAATAAGGCTTACGTAAGTGAGAACGAGTTCACTTTAACGAGTAACATCTTTTATTAAGTGTCACAGAAGTGCAAGAGAGTGACAAAAGCAATATTAGCTTTTAAGCTATACGCTATGTCTTTAAGTATCGATATAGCTATTGCTATATCGACCACTTTTGTTTAGATCACAGCTTAGCTAAGGATACTTAATTTCCTCGTAGTTGTGTGCACTGACTCTTATTCGCTTTACGAGTGCATAATAAAACTAGGAACTACTAAAGAAAAGCGCTTTATAATCGATATTATAGCTATTCGAGAGTCATACGAGAGGCGGGAGCTCTTTAAGGTACGCTAAATCGAAGGAAAATCTAACCTTGCTAACGCTATAACTAAAATCGGGGCTAATACTTCTTTGCAAGAGCTAGTTTTGACCAATACCTTGAAGGTACAAATAGACGGGTAAGTGGAAAGGCCGCTATAAGAAAGGGAAGGATAAGATTGTTTTTCTTTTGTTTGATTACCTTTCTTCCTTTTTCGGTCGATATAATAGTTAGCAAGGCACTGCTTGCCAAAGAGAGAGTTGCCGATGTCGGTATATCTATATCGACCTTAGTTAGCTAGTAGTAATAGTAGTAGTGGTTAAAGAAGCTCACTCGTGAACCATAGTTTACGGGCCACTTAGCATGCTTCGCTTAATATGTTAGCAGTCAAAGGACCCTCAACTTGACAAGTAGACTTATTAGTTAGCTAGTGCACGTGATTCCTTTTAGTCTTATAGAAGGAATCAGCTCCTTTGAATCTTGGGGAGCAGACAGAATTCAGATACCTTATCAACCGAGTGTTTTGCAATTGCAAGTACTTTAACGACCGTTACGACCTTACGAATATATATTCCCAATCGCTTGGAAGCAATCCAACAAATAGATAATAATATTAAAGAAAAGATAAAAAAGTATAAAATTAATATAAAAAAAAAGTTGATTGTTTATAACAAAACTTCGAGTATATATTACCGCTTTTGTTTTCTTTATTACGTTACCGCTTTAAGCCTTGCGCTATTACCGATTCTATTGCTGGTATCAATCTGGATGATGATAGTGCAGTCACGAGGAAGCTTTTGATATGTGTGGTTGATTGATTTGTATTATCTAAGACTAGGAATTGGGGGCGAGGTTGTAGTAAGAGCGTGCCAAGGCTGAGGTCCGTGCGTGCACGTGTACGTGCACGTGCACCGTACACCATGCTTTCACCTTACACTCTACTTAGCAATACACCTTTTTATCGAGGCTTTAAAAGCTTTCGGCAGTACCTTAATTGTATTTAAACTAATATACCTTTTCTGTAGAGTAGAAGTAAAAACACCTCTAAGAGCACAGTCTATTTAATTTTTACCGAATATAGCAGGTACGACTTTTAGGAGGAGAAAAAATCTTTTATGACACACCCTTACTACCTTTTGTTAAGAAAACACCTTTTGCTGAGCTCTATAGCTCTAGCACCTTTATTCGAAGCAGTTGTATAAAGGCAGCGTGATCTGTATTATTTAATGGCTTTGTTATACCGTCGGCGACGTTCTCTTTGCTAGGAATATACCATAAGTCGAGTCGTCCTTCTGCTACTTTATAGCGTACGTAATAGAACTTGATATCGATATGCTTGGTTCTTTAATAGTATTTAAGGTTTTTAAAGAGTGAGAGTGCTTTTTGTGAATCACAAATCATCTTAATTTTCTTCGCGTTAGCTTTTTTATAGCCAACCTTATTAAGTACTTGCTTAATCTAAGCGGCCTTTTAAGCGAATTTGCACATAGCTACGTACTCAGCTTCGGTTGAAGAAAGAGCTATAATAGTCTAGCGTTTGGAAATGACGTTAAAAACGCCTTTTGCAAAAAAGAATACTCTTCCGCTATATGAGACTCGATCTATTCTAGAGCCGGCCCAATCGGAGTCGCAATAGCTTACCAATTTAGTAAGCTTAGCGTCCTTTCTATTAAAAACAATTGACAGCATACGAGTATCTTGTAAGTACTGTAAAACGCGCTTTGCAATAGCTATATGTTAAGGTGACGGATTAGTTAAGAATTTAGCTAATAAAGAGCAATGGTAAGCAATGTCTCACCGAGTATGAGTTGCGAGGTACTGCAAGGAGCTAACGATTGATTAGTATAGTGTAATCTCGTATTAAATAGCTTAGCCTTCGAATTTGATCATATGAACCTCGGAACTTATTGCAAAAGGTGTAGGTGCACTCTTGCAATTGGACATACCGAATCGGTCTAACACTTTGTCAATATAAGCGTTTTAGCACAAGGTAATAGTACTTGCGGGTCGATCTCTAACGATTCTGACTCTTAAAAAGTAAATAGCTTCATCGGTACAAGTGATATCGAATAAGTCGTGCAAATCCTTTTTGAATTGCTCGTAGACTGATCCCGATTTACCGATTATTAAGAAGTCGTTAATATAAGTGATAATCATGATTTTAAAGTCTTTGTTGATATAAACACAATTGTCGGTTTCTATAAAGGCGAATCTTAGCTTAGCAAATCGCTTTCGTAGCAACTTTTGCTAAAAGCGTAATGATTGTTTGAGGCTATACAAAGCTTTGAGTAGCTTTAAGCAGTCCTTATTAGTAAGAGTGTAGCCGAATTCGACTTATCTTAATAGAGCTTTAACATAGATGTCGCTATCAGCCTTACTATTCAAAAAGGCAGTATCAATATCGAACTGTTAGACCTTTAGGTCGTAAAGAGCAGCTAGAGCAATTGCGAGCTTCTAAACAGCTGATTTGCATACTTTAGCGAAGGTTTGATCGTAATCACGGCCTTTCTGCTATGTATAGCCTTGGACTACGAATTTCACTTTGTATCGCTCGATCTTTTTATTCTTATCTCTTTTAGTTTTAAATAATAGACGTGAGCTTAGAATGCGTCTACCCTTAAAGATATCACGCTTCTTTATAATTGACTACGTCTCTTTGCGTCGAAGAGCAGAGTACTCTTTAATAATAGCTTAGCGCTAGTTATCTGCATCTAAGCGTGCAAGAGCCTCTTTTATAGTTTAAGGATCGTCTGCAAATGGTGACTCTTTAGCAGCGTTGAAGTAGGTCTATTAATAGGTGTTTGTGTTAGTTCTTTCTTTAATAGTTACGTTTGCTGATAAAGCTGCAATAGCGTTGCGAGTGCTAGACCGAGTATTTATTCGTTCCGAAAAGGGAACTTGAAAGTAGATTTTGCGTAGTCTTCGAATAGTAAGAGCCTTATTATTTACTTTAAAGGGAACAACTTCTTCTTCGACCTCCTCCTCAACCTTTTTTTTAACGTTTAAAGAAGGAGCTTTATAAGGTTCAAGGAGCTTGTCGGTAGCTTCTTCGTCCTTAGTTTCTTTTAAATTATCATCGAAATCTAGTTTATCTTAGACGTAGTGATCAAGGCCTTTAAAGGACTCTTGATCTTGGTTGTGCTAGCTAAAGATAAGCTGACTACGGTCAACTTGGTCACCTTTAGCTTTAGGTAGCACGTCTTCTTCTTCTTTAAAAGTAAGTTCGGTAACGAGTCTATTTTTATTAAAACGAATATAAAAGGTACGAACCACTTTCTTACTAGATCGAGAAGGAACGTATACTCGCTAGATGTTACTGCTTTCGAAATCAACTAATGTTCCGACCTTAGCTCTAAGCGCTAGTTTGCGACTTTGTACGCGGCGTTCAAGCTTAATTAAGACGTAGACTTTACATCCGAGTACTCGCAAGTGCTTGACCGAAGGTTTGTAGATCACTCCTAGCTTAATGTTATTTTAAAAAGCTTCGTAAGAGGTCTTTCTATTTAAAAAGGCAGTGTTAGCTGTGAGATTGATAATATAGATTATTGCTATTAAGCACTCGAGCCATAAGAACTCAAGAATCTCTTGATTAATAATTGCGGTGCGTAGCTTTTCTATTAAAATACGAATAGATCGCTTTGATCTACCGTCTTGCTCGAAGGTGTAAGGTATTGATTCTTTAAGTAATATACTAAAGTGGTCGGCCAACTCTTTTATCTATTTAAAAAAGTATTCTTTACTTCTGTCGCAGCGCCACACTTTAATAGTGCGATTGTATTAAGTCTTAGTAAAGCGAATCATCTTTTTGTTGACTAAGAAAGCGTCACTTTTGATTGCGTAAGTGTATCTTCACTTAGCTATTGTAGCTAAGCAAGTGAAGATTAAAGCGTATTTGTGACCGTGGATCTTAGTAAGAGTTAAATAGACTATATCTACGTATAGCTTTTGTAAAGCAATCGTAGGTCTTTTGCGTGCTAACACTTTATTAGTCTTCTTAATAAGACGACCCTTCTTACAAAGGGCGCAAATACGTGTTCTATTAGTTTTAGTCTCCTTGAACTTCATTCCGACAACACTACTTTAAGTATCGCGAACAGCTTATAAGCTAGCATAGCACATACGTTTGTGCTAAAGTTTAATATTAATAAGAGCCTTCTTAATAGCTGCAAGTAGGGCGTGGCCGGTGATAAAAGCAGAAGGTGCGCAAGGGCTATCCTTAATGATAAATAGCTTAGCATCTACTTTACAGATTTCTTTGTCGGTAGCCGTAAGCAACTTACTTCTTTTTAAATAACCACCGATTTTGCTCAACTTTAAGCTTAAGTATAGATTGACGGGACTTTGAGGCATATAAAGCGTGTTCTTATACTTAATGACGCTTGCCAAGCCTCGTGATTTAAAGCATTTGATGACACAAGTGCTAATATTAAAGGGGCGAACTAGGCCTTTTATAGTATTTATAAAAAGGAGATCCTCTTTAGTTGTATAAACAGTAAACTTAAAGAGATTATTG